AAGAGTCTTGCTTTGTCACCCAGGCTGGAGTGCAGTGGCATGATCTCAGCTCACTGTAGCCTCCGCCTCCCGGGTTCAAGCAATTCTGCCTCAGCCTCCTGAGTAGTGGGACTGCAGGTGCACACTACCATGCCTAGCTAATTTTTATATTTTTAGTAAAGACAGGGTTTCACCATGTTGGTCAGTCTGGTCTCAAATGCCTGACCTCGTGATCCGCCCGTTTCAGCCTGTCACAGTGCTGGAATTGCAGGCATAAGCCACCACGCCCAACCAGCATTAGTGCATTTAACAACTTTTATCTATCTCTTTATAGTCAATGATCTCTAAATATACTAAATAACCTTCCTCTTCTGAGATGGTTTCATCAATTTACCTTTTTGTAAAATTATTTCACTTCACTTCAGTTTATTTGAACAGAGTCAATTATTCCCATTTCCTCTGTATTTATGCTAATTTCTCTATCCTCATTTCTTATTTTGTATAATTGTGCTTTGCTTTTTTTAAAACTAGTTTTTCTTTTTATTTTTTAATTTCAATAGGTTTGTGGGGAACAGGTGGTCTGGTTACATGGATAAGTACTTCAGTCGTGATTTCTGAGTTTTGTGCATCCATCACCCAAGCTGTGTACACTGTATCCAGTGAGCAGTCTTTTATTTCTCTCTAACACCCACTTTTTCTCCCAAGTTCCCAAAGTCCAATGTATCATTCTTAGGTCTTTGAGTCCTCAAAGCTTAGCTTCCACATATGAGAACATACAATGTTTGCTTTTCCATTCCTGAGTTACTTCACTTAGAATAATAGTCTCCAATTCCATCCAGATTGCTGTGAATGCCATTATTTCATTACTTTTTATGGCTGAGTGGTATTCCATGGTATGTGTATATACCACATTTTCTTTATCCACTCATTGATTTTTGGGCATTTGGGCTGATTCCATATTTTTGTAATTGTAAATTGTGCCATTATAAACATGTGCGTGCAAGTATCTTTTACATATAATGACCTTTTCCTCTGAGTAGATACTTAATAGTGGGATTGCTGGATCAAAATGTAGATCTACTTTTAGTTCTTTAAGGAATATCCTCACTCTTTTCCAAAGTGGTTGTACTAGTTTACATTCTCATCAGCACCATAGAAGTGTCCTGTTTTCACCACATCCACACCAACACCTAATATTTTTTGATTACGACCATTCTTGCAGGAGTGAGGTGGTATGGCATTGCGGATTTGATTTGCATTTCCCTGATAATTAGTGACGTTGAGCATTTTGTATATCTGCATTTTGATGTTGGCCATTTGTATATCTTCTTTTGAAAACTGTCTCTTCATGTCCTTAGCCCACTTTTTGGTGGGATTTTTTTTGTTTGTTTTTCTTGCTGATTTGTTTGAGTTCCTTGTAGATTCTGGATATTAGTCCTCTGTCGGGTGTATAAATTGTGAAGATTTTCTCCCACTCTGTGGGTTGTTTACTTTAACTGGTTTTTCAAAACTAGCTCTTGAATGTATTACTTCATTTCTTGGTTTTTCTGTTTACATTTCCTTAATGTTTCCTTTTATTTTTATTTGTTCTTTAATTTTTCTTAAGTTTAATTTCTTGTTTTTTGTCTAATTTTTAAAATGTGATGTTTAATTTATTTGTTCTCGTTTGTTCTTGTTTATCTGTGAAAACATTTAGGGTTATATATTTTTTCTCTGAACACAGCATTAACTGTATCCCTTGAGTTCTAACATGTAATGCTTTTAATTAATTATATTTTCTAGATATTCTGACCTTCAAAGTTTGATTTTCTCTTCAACCAAGTAATTGTTTTAGAAAATTTTAAAAATTTCCAAGTGATGCCAGGCACAGTGGCTCATACCTGTAATCCCAGCACTTTGGGAGGCTGAGGCAGGCAGATCACCTGAGGCCAGGAGTTCAGGATCAGCCTGGCCAACATGGTGAAATCCTGTCTCTACTAAAAACATAAAAAATTAGCCAGGTGTACTGGCAGCTACTTGGGAAGCTAAGGCAGGAGAATCACTTGAATCCGGGAGGCAGAGGTAGCAGTGAGCCAAGATCAAACCATTACTCTCCAGCCTGGGCAACAAGAGCAAAACTCCGTTTCAAAAAAATTAATTTCCAGGTGGTATTTTGCTTTTTAAGATGATTCCACCAGCACAGTGGCTCATACCTGTAATTCCAGCTAAGGGGGGCATATCACTTGAGCCCAGGAGTTTGAGACCATCATGAGCAACATAGTAAGATCCCATCTCTACAAAACATTTTTTTGAATTAGCTGGGCATGGTGGCACATGCCTGTGATCTGAGCTACATAGGAAACTAAGGTAGGAGGGCTGCTTGAACCCAGGAGGTTGAGGCTGCAGTGCGTCTTGATTGCGTCACTGCTCTCTAGCCTGGGTGACAGGGCAAGACTGTCTCAAAAATAAATAAAGTAAATCATGCAGTAAAATGTTTCACAGAACAAATATTTTAATGCAAGATATTATGTGTTTATGTTTTTGTTTCTTATATGTTGGAGTTTTTCTTTTTGGCATGACCATGGCTCACTGTGTTGGAGTTTTGTTTATAAAGTATTACTATTTAATGCATGCATATGTGTATATGCATATGTTTTAAAATACATTTTAAGTAATATGTATTAACTACTATGCCCTAACATTGTATTTGTAACACTAATACATTGACTAGTTTATTCCTTAATTATTGTCCATTATAATAGAAGACCAAATCTCAGAAAGATTATGCAAGATCTCTGAATTCAAATAGTAGTGCTAGGATAGCTGCCAAAATATGGCTGATTCCAAGGCCTATGCTCTTCCCAAATTGCATCACTAGAACCATGGAAGAAAACAAAATATGAATTGTATACCACATATAGAAAATAGATACAGCACACAGTTCCGTAAACAGGTAATGCTTTAGCATGTTTGAGATGCATAATGAGAAATGTAGATATGTTACTTCGCATTTCATAAAAGCACAAGGCTTTTGTAGGTTTCAAATACAGAGAATAGGCCAGGAAAATCACCATTCTGCTTTTTAACAATCTTTCAGATTTCCAGGTATTCCCCTAAGAGCTTTCTTCCAATATTTCACTCTCACCATCAGGAAATTCTTCTTCATACTTAACCTATTACTTCGTGCTGAGTTTAGCCCTCTCTTTGGGATTCTTTAGAGATAGAGAACAGCTGGTTTCTATTTTCTACATAATAGCCCCTCATAAACGTGAAGCCTTCCATCATAATCTTGTTTCTGGGATACATAATCCTAATTCCTAAGTCTCACCTTTATTTTTTATTTATTTTTTTTTCAAATATTGTCTTCAAATGTGGTTATTTTTATGCCTGGAGAGAAAGATAATGTTTATATTGCCCACATCCTTTTTAAATTGTATTGAATGTTAATGGGCTATTGCATAGTGAGATGGTAAAATTTGCAGTATGACTGATGTATGGTGCCTATGAGTCTGTTCATGTCTCCCAAGACCTTTTAACCTAGGTAATAGGGTTTTGGGTATTTGCTGTCCATATCTCACACTAAAGGTGCTGAGAAAAATCAAAACTGCCCATGTTCAAGAAAATTATGAGAAAAGCATGTAAATAGAGAAATTTGAGGGGTGAGCAGTGTTTTTATATAAAGTGCATGTATTCTTACTATAAAAAAATAGCTTATTAGGTAGCATAGAAAAGAAATAAAATGAATACCTAGGGTCTAGAATAGCAGAGTATGTATTTTTATAAAAAAAAAGAAAAGAAAGATAAGTTATCAAAAACTTTTCTCATATCAGAACTCCAGAATGATTCCTGAGTGATGGGCATTTCTGGAGATCATATCATAATGGCAGAAATCTAATAACATAATAATGGCAGAACAAAAAGATGGAGGGGTTTATTGGGACTGAGTTACTGTAAGAAAGAATCATCAATGCTAAGGGAATTAGTTGGAAGGATAAATTAATTCTGTAATGCATCACAAACAAATATTAATAAGAGATAACAATAATCAAGAGCTTTACTACATGCCAGGTGTTGTTTTAGGTACACGACAAACATTAACTTATTTAATTCTCACAACATCCTACCACATAAGGTTTCCTAAACCAATTTTACAGATAAGAAAATGGAGGCAAAAGAGGTTAAATTATCTGACAAAAGTCACAATGGAGGTACAAGAAAGATTTGGAATTCTAACACAGGTAGTCTGGCCCAAGGGTCTTTGCTCTATCAATGTCAGAAGATGATTTTAGCAAGGACCGGGCTATTGAATCTACCAATTCATCAAAACTAACCATTCTCAAAGGTTCGGATAAATGAATTTTAGTTTTAATGTTCTCTTGTACTATGGTCATAGGTGTCATTAAGAGAAACAATGCCCATAGGTGAATTTATCTTCACTGTTTAAGGAATTTTTATTAAAGCAAGGAATTTTTATTAAAGCAAGAATTTTATAATCCAAATTATGTTTCCTTGCTCAGTTATCAGTTCTGTTACTTAAAACATACCTGACATTTTAAGCTGTTCTACAGTAAAGAATTACAAAATTAAAGAGAGGACTGCTTTAAATTTTTGTACTTTCCTGAAAATTCTTTTTCCCAGGGTCCTTTAAAACATTAATTTGTTTTTATATTTTACTATTTTTTGTGGGTTTTTAAAAAAAATCTATAAGTAATCTAGGACTAGCATTATGTTTTTTAGACCTGGAACTTGCTCGGTACATAAGTTTCAAAGTTTCCTTTTCTTTTTAAAATGTATTTTATATTTTGCGATTTTTTTCCGTAATATTTAAGTTTTTCGATGTTTAAATATTTTTCTTCAGTGAAGCACAAGTTTCTTTTTGTGGTCCCTGATCAATTTTAAACAGCTGGAACACTGGTGGCACTGTTAACTGCTTTCTAGGCAGCCTCTTTGGCTTGGTGGGCTTGCAGTACAGCTACAGCTTTATTGACCTTAGAACGACCTCTGTAGACTCAAGCATATGAAGAAGTTCTCAATTGTCAATCTCCAACAACATGCCAGTGATTTTACCAGCAAGAGTAAGGTTCATGGCTTGAACAAGAGGAAGCAGCCATTCACCCAACATTTGCTTTTGCTTTTGAGGAGGGGCAGATGCCAATATAGAAGCAGTCAAAAGTTCCTGACCTTGTACATGAACAGCAGGCTGTTGCATTGTAACTTGTGGCTGTGCATTAAGATGTTGCTAAGGATTGGAAACTCCTGCAGCATATTTATGCTGAGGAACCATGCTGACAGCAGGAGTAGCTGCAGCAGCTGCAGCTGTAGGATGTGGATCCACTGTCTGTGTTGATGTGTTAGCAACATGCTGTGTTGACATGACTTATGGAACCTGTGAAAAAGCTGGTCTCATAGTCCTAAATGGTGGTCTAGGAGCAGCTGGGTAGATAGCAACGGGAATATTTTGGAAAGGATAAGGTCTGGCACCCTGCGTAGTCCAGCGAGGACTTGGTCTTAGTTGAGCAATTTGGCTAGGAGGATAGTATGCAGCATGGTTCTGAGTATGTAGGATAGCTTCCATGAAGTAACCTGAAAGAGGTGCTGGCTGGTAGGGGTTGCTTACCGGTTTGGGCACAGCTCGTACACTTGCCATTCTCTGCATATACTTGTTAGTGAGGTGAGCCTGGTGCCTTTCTTTGCACTGAGCTAAAGCTACATACAATGGCTCTGTGGCCACAATTCTATGTTCATTTCTGTAACTGCTTTAGTGGCTTCTTCTGTGGAGGAGAAACATACAAAGCCAAACCCTTTGCTGCGACCACCGTCCATCATAACCTTTGCACAAGTGATTGTGCCAAATGGAGAAAACACTTTCCGGAAACGCTCATCTTTAATATCATCATCAAGATTTTTCACATAATGATTCACATCCTGGTATCTAGTGATCCTATCTTGCTTCATCTGTTCAAATTTGCACTTAAGCTCCGCCTGCCGTTCCACCTTTTTCTGAGCTTGACCAGCGTAAAGTTGTTTCCCATTGAGCTCCTTTCCATTCATCTCATCCACAGCTTTCTGTGCATCTTCTTGCCTTTCAAAGCTTACAAATCCAAATCCTTTGGATTTTCCACTTTCATTAGTCATTACTTTCACACTTAAGGCAAGCCCAAAGTCGCCAAAGAGATGCTTAAGGAGCTCATCATCCATGTCTTCTCCAAAATTCTTGATGTAAACATTGGTGAACTGTTTTGTCCTAGCTCCAAATTCAGCTTCTCGTTCTTTACAAGACTTAAATTGTCCAACAAAACTTTGCGATCATTTAGGAGCATTCCATTCATTTTTTCAATAGCTCTTTCAGCTGCTTCCTGCGTCTCAAAGTGTACAAATCCGTAGCCCTTGGAACCATTTTCATCACAAACTACCTTACATGAGAGGACGTTATCAAAAGTAGAAAATGTGTCATACAGTGCTTTATTATTAATGGATTTGCCTAGATTTTTAATGAATATGTTGCCCACTCCACTTTTGCAAAGTTATATTCCTAGGTGATGGATCAGGCTGAGATCACCTGATGCGTACTGTCTTGCCCTTTATAACATCAAAATTCATGGCGTCCAAAGCACGCTCCGCGTCTGCGGGCTGCTGGAAGTTCACATATGCGTATCCCAAGGAGCCGCGGGTGATCATGTCCCTGCAGACCCGGCTGGAGAGGATTGGGCCGGCAGGGCTGAACAACTCGTAGAGCGTCGCCTCGGTCACGTCGGGGTGCAGGTCCCCCACGTAGAGCGAGGCCATAAGGTTGCCGGGGGCGCTGGGGTTCATCTACCCACGGCTGCCTGCAGGGCCACAGGCCGCAACCGTTCTGTGAGAGGAAGGCGAGTGCCGGTGCCAGGGGCTGGAGCTGGGGGGAGGGGTGCGGGGGCAAGCGCAGAGGGACAAAAATCACCCGGAATCGAAAACTACTCAACAGCCCCAGGGCTGGGCGAACCCGCTGCAGCGGACTGCGGGCTGCCAGCCGGGAGCTAGGGTGGCGGTGTCGGGTCCGGGCAGCGGCAAGGCCTCGGTCTCTTGGTTCCCTCCTGGAGCTGCTGCTGTGTCGCTGGCGGGCGGATCGGTCTCGGCTGCTTCACAGGGTTATTTCATAAAAGAGGAAGAAAAAAAAAAAAAGTGTCTGGCGGGGGAGACGCGGCTTTTTGTAAAATTTTGGGGGTTTTAAAAAAGATGTTTTTAGATTAAAAAAAATTTTTTTTTTTTAAATAATAAATGTCTGTTTCGACCCTGGAGCACACACTCCGCACTCTCAGCACTAATCGCGGGGGAGAAGGGCCATAGGTAAATTTTGAAGGAGGATCCTCCTTCATCTATGCTTTGCTGGCTCAAATCAGCATGTTCCCTTGGCCGAGCTCCTCTGGAATGCACTTGGATTTAATGCACTCCAAGCTCAGTGTTTTTGCTTTGAACTTAACAGTCACACCAGTGTCTCATTCCTTTTATGAGATTATTGTACTATCTGTGTCTGCATTTGCCTCTATACAACTGGATTAAACCTCCTAAAAAAGCGAGGATACTGCCTTCTTTATCTTCGTGTTACCAAGCATCCAACTGTCTGTAACGTTTTTTCCCAAAGAGCAGGGGCTACCCAGGCCAGTGATCAGCTGGGGCACAGAGTGAGTGCAAAGTTCCTCAAACTTCTAGGGTGTCTGGCAAGAAAGATCAGACGCCAGGTGCAGAGACCTGAGGGTGCTAACACTGAAGCCAGATAAATAGTCCAAACACCATGCTGCGTAGTCCAGAGGCTGAGATGGAAAAGCGGGAACAAATGGAGCAGGAGAGAAAGTAGACACAGGAAAAGTGGGTTAAGACTCAGAAACGCCAAAGTAAAATCAGACATTTATACATCATCAGACAAGCATGTTTCATACAATTCCCATAATAGAGCCTTTTAAATGTTATCAGTTCCTTTGTGGCTCTCTTGCCATCTTTGTCTATACAGAAGTATTTATTCAATTATTTCAAGGGTTTTTTTTTTTCCTATTTCATAAAAAAAGTGGAAAATGGAAAACTGCAATGCATCTTATTGTAGTAACAAAAAGCGCAGGTCTTATAAAATTGTTACACAGATGAAAGTCATTCTATGTGCATACATGCTAATTCTTCAGCTTCCATCTAGGGTTCACTGTACTTGAGCTAATTCGAGTGTGAGTTTGACTTTAAAGGAAAAATATAAAGTTTTAAAACACGTAAAAATTGCTGCAACAAGGCTGGGCATAGTGGCTCACGCCTGTAATGCCAACACTTTGGGAGGCTGAGGTGGGCGGATCACGAGGTCAGCAGTTTGAGACCAGCCTGGCCAAGGTGGTGAAACCCCATCTCTACTAAAAATATAAAAATTAGCTGGACGTGGTAGCATGTGTCTGTAGTCCCAGCTACTCTGGAGACTGAGGCAGAAGATATGCTTGAACCTGGGCAGCAGAAGTTGCAGTGGGCAGCAGAAGTTGCAGTGAGCTGCAATCAGGTCACCGCACTCCAGCTGGGCAGCAGAGGGAGACTCTGTCTCAAAAAAAAAAAAAAAAAAAAAAAAAAAAATGCCGAGTGCAGTGGCTCACGCCTGTCATCCCAGCACTTTGGGAGGCGGTGGCAGGTGGATCACAAGGTCAGGAGTTCAAGACCAGCCTGGTCAAGATGGTCCAACCTCATCTCTACTAAAAATACAAAAAATTTAGCCGGGTGTGGTGGCAGGTGCCCATAATCCCACAGGAGGCTGAGGCAAACAATTGCTTGAACCTGGGAGGCAGAAGTTGCACAGAAGTTGCAGTGAGCCGAGATCGTGCCACTGCACTACAGCCTGGGTGACAGAGGGAGACTCTGTGTCAAAAAAAAGAAAAAAAAGCACTAATGCTTCCCTAATGAAAGCATTCTTCTATCAGTACAAGCTGATGCTATTACAAATACAGGAAAAAAGAGACATGGAAATTGGAAAAGAAGAGATAAAATTATTGTTTATAAATAATGACTGCATGTATCAAAACCCAAGAGAATCAACTGAAAAATTCCTACTGACAATAATCAAATTTGTTAAGTTGTCTGTATACAAAATCTCTATAAAAAAGTGTGATGGTATATATACCTACCATGTAGCCACAAAAATTTAAAAAATAATTTAAAAAATTTAAAAAGTATGATGTGAAAGACACAACTACCAAAAATAATTTTAAAAGAGAATAAACTTGATAAGAAATACGCAAGAGTTTTATGAAGAAAGTTCTGACACATGACTGAGGGACATGAAAGAGGCTTTGACTAAGTTGAAAGGCATTTCCTGTTCGTGGAAAGGTAGGCTGAATATCACAACATTTTACTCATTCCTAAATTAATCTTTATACTTCATGCAAGTCAGTTAAAAATAACAACAGGAGTCTTCCTCCTTCTCCTCGACTTCCTCCTCCATCATCTTCTTTTCTGTGAGGAGTGGGGATGGGGATTAAATAAATTGATTTGAAAATTCAAAAGAAAAGTTAAACATCCCAGAATAGCCAAAATCATTCTGAAAATAAGAGTAATAAAAGGAACAAGGCATACAGGTTTTATTATATTTATTTATTTTTGAGAGAGAGCTTCACTCTGTCACCCAGGTTGGAGTGCAGCAGCCCGATCTCAGCTCAGTGTAACTTCCGCCTCCCAGCTTCAAGCCATTCTCCTGCCTCAGCCTTCTGAGTAGCTGGTACTACAGGTGTACATCATCATACCTGGCTAATTTTTGTATTTTTAGTAGAGATGGGGTTTTGCCATATTGGCCAGGCTGGTCTTGAACTCCTGATCCGCCCTCCAGGCTTCCCAAAGTGTTGGGATTACAGGGCTGAGCCATCACTCCTGGCCCCAGATTATAAAACATATTATAAAGCTGAAATATTTAAAACGCATTGTTACTAGGGCATGAAAATACAGATCATTGGTTAAAAGCTGGCAAGCCAAAGAAATAGATTCAGTTTTATATCATTTTTTAGGGTATTTCCGTATCTTATTTTTTTATTTTTTATTATACTTTAAGTTCTGGAATACATGTGCAGAACATGCAGGTTTGTTACATAGGTATACATGTGCCATGGTGGTTTGCTGCACCCATCAACTCATCGTCTACATTAGGTATTTCTTCTAATGCTATCCCTACCCTTGCTTCTCATACTCCAGCAGGCACCTGTGTGTGATGTTCCCCTCCCTGTGTCCATGTGTTCTCATTATTCAAGTCCCACTTACGAGTGAGAACGTGTAGTGTTTGGTTTTCTGTTTCTGTGTTAATTTGCTGAGAATCATGGTTTCCAGCAGTTTTATATCTTGATAGGAGTTTGGGTCATAAAGATGTATGCCTTTGTGAAAATCCATTGAATGTACAGTTAAGATTTGTACATTTCATTGTATATAGTTTCTCTTGAAAGAAAAAAATAAAAAAAAATATTGGACTAGAATCTAATGATATGTATACTAAAGTATTTGGAGGGGAGTATGCTGCTATCTGTAATTCATTTAGAAACAAATAAGAAAGGCCGGGCGCGGTGGCTCAAGCCTGTAATCCCAGCACTTTGGGAGGCCGAGGCGGGTGGATCACGAGGTCAAGAGATCGAGACCATCCTGGTCAACATGGTGAAACCTCGTCTCTACTAAAAATACAAAAAATTAGCTGGGCATGGTGGCGCGTGCCTGTAATCCCAGCGACTCGGGAGGCTGGGGCAGGAGAATTGCCTGAACCCGGGAGGCGGAGGTTGCGGTGAGCCGAGATCGCGCCATTGCACTCCAGCGGGGAAAAAAAAAAAAAATTCCCCTCAAAAAAAAAAAAAAAAAAAAAAAGAAACAAATAAGAAAACCAGAAAACAAGATGGCTAGAAGGTTACATATATGAAAAATTATGTAATTATATAAAATTATCTCAACATTGCTGTATGCTTAAAAATTTCATAATAAAATGTTGGAAAATAGACTCTAATATGTAGATAAATTTAGTATACAATAAAGATAAAACTGCAAATCTATAAGTTATAACATTATCTATAATGTTATATAGAATGAGAGATTTTGTCTCCTATTAGAACAGTTTTAGGAACCAGGATGCAGATGAGGACGGGGTGTAGGAGATGGAGTTGTCCCTGGAATGACTCTTCCAGATTCTGTGGTGTCTCCTGCTGTTCTGACTCATGAGGCTAAGGGGAAACTCTGGCATCCCAGTCCCTGAGAGCACTGTGCTGGGCCACTGCTTTCCTACTAGCAGGGGCCATGTTGGCTATGAGGTGAGGACAGGTCCAGGAACTACACACACATCCAAAGGGCTAAGAGAACAAAAGAGTCCTTGTAACAAAGCGCATGTTGTGCAGGCCAAGGTCAGTTCTGTTCTTACAAGCATGGTGATTCTTCGCTCCTTTGACTTTTTTTGGTCAAATTGCTCTTTTATAGCTAACAACTTTAGGATTTACAACAGTTTATTTAGGAGTTCTGAGTAGTTTATAAAGTGCTGTTACTTAGCTATTTGTCTTCTGTGTTTTGTTTTGTTTTGTTTTTGCTATTTGACCCTATATTTATATTTCTCAAAGATTGCACAGAATGGGTGTTGGGGAGAAGTGTCATTCTGCTACTCCGTGTACAGAGTTTCAAAAAACTGGGGTTCCTGGGAACTCACCTGAGCTCCAAACAGTAGAAACTTTGACAGCATGTGGAGAGAATTAGCCAGGCTTCCTCAACCTTTAAGGTGTACTTGGACTTTGACAGGTAAATTTGAGGCTCCTTTTATTTGGGGAATGGGGGTGGGAAAGAGAGCATATATTTTAGTGGCAAAA